ACTTCTACGGATGAGAACACATTGCCACAAAACATTGAGAAGCCCAAGAGGTCAGTACAGTAATCTTACTAACATTCCCTAGAGGTGCAATGAAGCGTAAATGAAATTTTCTTTACAATTCAGCAGACATGGATGTGGCTTAGATGCAGGCTGGGAATAGCCACGTACAATATCCGAAATTTCGGGTGTTTGAAAAATTCGTGTCGCTAATAGCCAAGTAGGTTATTCACGAATTAGTTCGACAAAATTAGAGACATCGTCATTAACATCGGAATCTAAGCATGTCGGTTGTGCTATAGCGGATCAGTAAGTCACCTGAATCATCAAGTGAACTTTTTCAGCTTCGCTAGGTTGTGTACAGTGGCGCAGAACATATCGTCAGCTATTACTGACTTGACTAAAATGATGCACAACATATCCTCGGCCATTACTGACTTGAATAGTAATGTAAAGCAATTAATATCTAGGTCTAACGAACGCGAACAAACGCATCAAGTCGATCGCGGAATCTCGAGCCAACAGTTCCCTTTGTCATCTGAAAAGGAACTGAAGATGCTGGACACTGGTTTGCAGCATAAAGAAACCAGGGACCGATTTGTAAGTCACCAACATTAATTTAATAATTTGTTCGTGTTACAGATGGCAATGGTTACGAGGTTATCATGTGACGATCCGAAAACATCAATGCGGTATGTTCTGTTGCACCTCCTGACACCTGAGTTTGCCAGTAAATTCACGCTACTTGGCACCTCTTCGAAACGAGCACCTTTGAAATGCCGGTTTTACGGCTGCATACCAAGTAACTCATATTTATTATTTGAACTTCAGGTGCCTTAACAAATTACTTTCTGTCATCCGCTCTCAACGAAAAAGTCCTTGCTCAGCTGTACGACATCGCGACACAAGGTTATTTTCACGATGTCCGAGACAAAATGACAAAGCGTAATAGAAGGAAACAAGATCAGGTATGTGCTAATTTGAGGTTATAACTTCCCTATGGCTTTATAGTTACAGTCTACAGTATTAACGAACATAACCGTAAGTTCAGCTTAAAGTATTTGACTGTGCCAAAGCATGTCATTCAGATGTCGTTGTGACTTGTTTTGTTTTTTAAGCTTCAGAATTCAAAGAAAGACTATTTCAATTATCAATAGCCGAACATACGTGGCTGAAGGCGAAAGTCCGTACAGTGTTTTCTATGTTCTACTTAATTTTTAATAAACATTTTTTGGTAAAACAGCTTACGTTTTTACTTACATGGGAAGCTATTGAAGTGTTGAGAGTGTGTTTGTTTGTCAGTGAACTAGCGATTAAATACACATGCCTTATAAACAATACATCACCTGTTCCCTCTGTAGCGTGGCGTCGAGTTGAGATTAACTGTGAACACCGCTACAAAGAAACACGTGCCAAATAGATCAGAAGCGACCATAACGACCAAGTTCGAGACCAAGCATATGCCAAGCATTCGAAACCAATATATCGACAGAGTACGTTGACAAGAGCGTGGGTGGCCAATCCAGCTTTCGCCAAAGTTGACTGAAGTCGACGGAACCAAACGAAGATGGTCGAAGGCGTGGTGTTAGCGGGACATAGACTAGATTAAAGCATGCTCAATGCATGATTGCTTTGGTGCACGCTGATTGGCTAATTCTTATCCAATCAGCGCTAGTCGATAGTTGGAGAATATTCTGGATTCTTCTTATGTAAAAACTATAAATATACCGACGTTTTCCCCTATTGTGCTTCCTATTGGCTTCTGACTTGCTATTTGGAATATAATCTTTTCCCTGTTCAACCGTGTTCTGATTTGGGGACTTGTCGAGTGAATCGGTGTCCGAGAATACTAAGCAATAGGAATAGCTGGGTCATTAACCGTAAGAAGAAAAACAGAGAATATAACAGTGGCGACGGGGAAAAACTAAAGAAAAATGGCGATTTCTTTAGAACAGTTGCGGTTAATATTACAGCACCAGCAGAAGTTGTTAGCCTTGCAACAACAACTATTGAACACACTTTTCACTCGACCAGAAAATAAGAAATCTGTTTATGATGCAGTAACAGACATTTCAGAAGCATATCTAGTGGAGGGTTCAAATCCCTTTATACCTGAATCAGAACGTAATATTTGTAACGTGTCCGGCTCACAGCAAGAAAATACTGTGCTGAATGCACATGAAGTTGTGACAATACCAGATGATCAGGAGTCAGGTCCTGTAGATGAAGCCCGGAGTCCAGAATCAAATGAAACACTACTGGTACTGTCTAGCTGCGAAAATAAACGTCAGCTCGAACAAAATTGTGGTCCACGTGCTATTAGTCGAGAAAGCTATGGTGACTCGTATTCAAAAAATAACTGGAGCAACACGATGAACCAAATAGTACCAGATGTTACTCAAAATCACCGGAAGACAGAATTTTATATTGAGTCAACTTATCCCATTTCTAATGACAGTGTACCAGATATTGATTCTCAGAATAATGCATATGATTTTGATGAACCTTCTTATAACAATGAGGGAAATATGTCAGCTGAGTCGAATGATGGCCAAAAATCTAATCTAATTCTGTTAGACGTTGACTTTCTTAATGACTCGTTATCAGCTAACGAGATTCATAATGAATTTGAAAATAATGAACTCAGATCAAAGGTTGTTCATCATCATCTAGTCATTTTTAGTGGATTCTCCAGTCAATACGAGAAACATGGTTTAAATAAAGTCCTACTAGTTATAATTTGGAGCCATAAGGACCCAACATTATTTCGAGGAGGAGGAGAATGTTGGAGAATTAAAAGTTATGCATACTTTTTTTTAAGAAAAATCAAAACGCCGGGAACAGACATGTCAGTCTCTGTGCAAGGAAAAAGTGATAATTCTTCATTGCCTAGACGATGGACTAATCGAAAGCACAAGCCAGTCACTCAGTTGCAGTTGGACCCTAGCACCAGATCCTACGAATCTGCTCAGAGGGGAGGTGTTAGCGGGACATAGACTAGACTAAAGCATGCTCAATGCATGATTGCTTTGGTGCACGCTGATTGGCTAATTCTTATCCAATCAGCGCTAGTCGATAGTTGGAGAATATTCTGGATTCTTCTTATGTAAAAACTATAAATATACCGACGTTTTCCCCTATCGTGCTTCCTATTGGCTTCTGACTTGCTATTTGGAATATAATCTTTTCCCTGTTCAACCGTGTTCTGATTTGGGGACTTGTCGAGTGAATCGGTGTCCGAGAATACTAAGCAATAGGAATAGCTGGGTCATTAACCGTAAGAAAATAGAATTATAACACGTGGGCTCAGGAAACAAAAAGAAAATAAAAAAAAGAAGAGTGTAGCATACGTGTAGTATAGGAATAATCCTACACCGTATCGGTTGTTGACTGTGCGACTATTCCCAGAAGCGTACGGGTAACTGTACTCGGCGACCGGAACGTGAGACGGCAGTCTCGTTCGTATTTCATGAGCCTGCAATCTCATCCGAGGTCAGAGGCGGCGTGGTTTGCTGATCTGGACGTGAGACTGTCGTCTCGTCCGTAGACGGTGCAGATGACGCGTGCTGTTGACCGGGACGTGAGAATGAGGTCTCAGATGTATCTAGCGTGGAATCTGAAGAAGATTTAAGGATCCCGCTAGGTTTGATAGGTCTAGCATTGAATCTCAGGGTATCAGATAGGACAATGTCATGGACATGTGCTGGTTTGAGACGATCAATGCTGACGATCTGGACGCGGCCATGTCGATCAACCTTGAAAATCTTTTCGTGACGAGCGATCACGTGAAAAGAGCCTTAGTAAGGTTTTTGCCAAGGTTTGCGTACCGAATCTACTCGTATGAAAACACGTGTACAGGTAGATAACTCTCGAGGGAGAGCGACCTGTCGATGTTGTATTCGAGTTGACACCGGAGACAGCGTTCGCATAAATGCAGACAGTCGATGGACGTAGTCTGATTTACCGAAATTAGGTCTGCTCCGTGGTGTGAAGAATTCTCCGGGCAGATGCAATTTCGTGCCGTATACAAGTTCAGTGGCGGAACATTGGATATCTGCCTTTAAGCTCGTTCTCACCCCTAAAAGAACGAGCGGTAAGGTTTCGTGCCAGTTGCCGTTTTCGTGTGCTCGTGAAACACTTTTAAGTTGGCAGTGAAACCGTTCAACTTAACTATTTGGTGCTGGGTGGTAGACGGATATGCTTATGCGTATGCATTCCGTACCAAGCAGCCGGGTCAGCGAGGAGAATCGTTAATAGGGTAACATTTTTCGAATAAAGCGTGGAATTCATCATCACGCGAATATAAAGTGACAAGGATTCGGTAAACATACGTGTGAGTCTATTATATTAATACTATTCTTATCGTTATCCGTCATGTCGAGTATATTATATATTTAAAAATATGAAAATATACGACAGACGTGGATAGATAAATCATAGACTCACCGAATTGGCTTCTTTGGAAGATTTGACCAGAAGCTGAGGCGTGTTCCAAAATACGGGTCACCAATTGTAGACGAGTTGGGATTACCAATTGTAGCGTGGCGTCGAGTTGAGATTAACTGTGAACACCGCTACCAAGAAACACTTGCCAAATAGATCAGAAGGCGTAAGAAGCTCGTTCCAAATGACTCCATAAAATCCCCGAGAAGCCAAATATCAGAAGGCAATTAATGGACCAAGTCGAGGTTTATTAGCTGGCGATCTCGTGGCATCGAAAGGATACCGAGATCGTGCCAGGATACAACCTTGGTTACAGAACGTAACCGAATTCGCGCGAAGTTACAATCGAAGTGTAAGCGAAAGAATGGAAGCACAAAATAGCTGTCATTAGCACAGTCAAACAAAAGCACATTAAAACAAACACTGGTACAGTTGGTTATAATAATGATTGTTTTTATTAAACCAGTCGTGTTCTCGTGATAAACGTGAGTCACTACACTTCTTTTGCAGATATTTTCAATTAACAATGAATTAGCAATTTATAGTATTCTAATTATAGTATGAATTAGGAATTCCAGGATTAACGCAATTGAATTAAGAAGACACAGGCACAACGAATGTACTGTATTTAGAATTCGAAATCAAACATTCAACCAGTACAAAGGTATCATTGGTTCATTCAAACACCACATCCGCCACAGCTTAAATTGGAGTCTAGGTGTTTGTAATCAATCGTACGTCTTCTTCTCAAATTCATCCTGAGTCTGTCTGACATTGTATTGGATAAGGATTCTGTATTATCTAGAATATGCTCATTAGCATTAGAATTAACAATCGAAATTGGAACTGACTCACCTGGTTCCTGAAATTGTATTTGATCTACATGTCGACTGTGTGTACTTAAGTCATCGATGTCTAGAATTCGCACCATCGATTTTCCGACATTCTTCAGAACAATACCCGTAGATGGTCGAAGATCATTTCCTCGATAGTATGTAACCTCTGCAGACTCCAGACATCTCATATTCGACCGAAGAATTCTTCCTTTCAATAGCTTCGCTGGAGTCTCCTTCGTCACCGAATGTTTGGCATTTCTATATTGCAATAGAAAGGTATCTACTCCCCTCTCCAGCTCATTAAATGTTGAGGGGGCTATAGAATCAATAGCAGTCTTTAATGTCCTAACAAAATTCTCTGCCTGACCATTAGAACACGGATGTCTGGGAGCAGTAAATAGATGTTTGCACCCTATACCGTTCAACCAGGTAGTGACTGCATCTGCAGCAAAATGTGAGCCATTATCAGTCACCAACACCAAGGGAACACCTTCTCGACTAAACACCTTTCTTAATGCTTGTATTGTGAAATCAGAATTTGGTGAAGTTGTGAAAAAAAATTCAGGCCACTTTGAAAAAGAATCAATGACTACTAGTGCGTAGTATTTACCAAGAAATGGTCCACAATAGTCAGCATGAATCCTCTGCCAGGCCTCAGACGATACTGGCCATGGCACCCACTTCGAAGGATGATTTTTCAACTGATGACATTTCTCACAATTGTTTGCCGTACGACATATATCTGCATTTATCTCTGGCCACCAGCATGTGAGCCTTGCCAAGGACTTCATTTTCTCAACACCTAAATGACCACTATGAAGATCTTCAAGAACAGATTTACGCAATGAAGGAGGAATGACAACACGATCGTTTAAACACAGAATACCATCAGGAGTAGTAGATAACTCATCCCGCTTTGAAAAATAGATAGGAAATCTCCGTTTCAAATTAGCATTCCAACCTTTCCTTATAGCACTGAGTATACATCCAAAATATCTACGAGTTTCTCTAATGAGATCTGAACGTCTCACTGGTAAAGGTTGCACTAACAAACAATCCGAAGTATTAATAGGTTTATCTTGTAATGACTGTCGAGAAATGTAATCAACATGTTGAATCTGTTTGGCACTTCTGTGCTGAACCGTATAGTCATATGCACTCAAAGCAATACTCCATCGCTGAACCATAGCTGCTGAGGAACGTGCTAAGGATTTTTCGGGATGATAAATAAACTTTAAAGCTTCATGATCAGTAACAATAGTGAATTTCTTTCCGAATAAATATTTATGAAGTCTTTTAACAGCCCAAAACACAGCTAATGCTTCTCGCTGAGTCTGTGAATAACCTTGTTCAGTAACAGTAAGTTTGCGTGAAACACAAATAACTGGTCTACCTTCCTGTTCCAAAACTGCACCAATTCCCACAGGTGATGCATCAGTAATAAGCACAGAATGTACATTAGGGGAGTACGTTCGAAGAACAGCATCACTTTGAAGAAACTTCAGCAGACTTCGTAAGCATGACTCTTGTTCCTCACTCCATTTGAATGAATTTGATGTTAAAATATTAAATAAACAATTTGCACGACAAGAAAAATTAGGAATAAAACGGGAATAGTATTGAAGAGCACCCACTAGTGAACGTAATTCTGTAAGATTTTTCGGAGACGGTGCATTAGTCAGTGGAGCTAGTCGTTTCATATCTGGTCTAAAACCATTACCATCAACTAGGTATCCAAGGCATTCAAAACTAGATACACAAAATGAACACTTATTTGGATTCACTGTTATATTCTTCTCAATTAAACGACGCAATAAAGCAATAAGTCTCTGGTCATGAACCACCTTATTAGAGCCATGAACAATGAGATCATCTTGATAAACTTCAACACCTTCAAGATCACTAACTACTTTATTCATAACTTCCTGAAATATGGCTGGAGAACAACTTAGACCAAATGGAAGGAAATTGTATTTGAACAGACCAAAAGGAGTGTTAATTGTCGTCAAAATAGATGAAGATTCATCTAAAGGAATTTGAAGATAAGCATCTTTTAGGTCAACTTTTGAGAACACTTTAGAAACATGAAGTCGATTTACAATATCTTCATCCTCTACCGTCGTGCACGTTTGCTTCAACAAACGGCAGTTCAATGTTAACCTATAGTCACCACAAATTCTAGGGGTCTCGCCGTCCGACTTCAGTGGCGTAACGATAGGAGTACCCCATGCTGAAGACTGGATTGGTTCAATTATGCCTTTCACACACAAATCGTTTAATGTCTTATGTACTGCTTCTCGAAGACCATAAGGAATTATTCGTCTTTTAAGAAAGACGGGATCACCCTGTACTTGAAGTTTTATAGGCTTAATTTTCATACCTCCACTGCATTTAGCACACATAGCTATCAAATCTTTAAGTAAAGTATCAGAATTTTCTTTAGAAACTAAGAAGGACAACTCCACCTTAAGCCTTTTCAAATTCTTTAAACCCAATATTGACAGTCCTGTTTCGCTAACTAAAAATTCACAAGGTATGTATGAAGAATTATCATCTCTGATTAGCAATTCACAACATCCTCGTATGGGCAGTCTGTGTCCAGTAATCCCCAGTATTGATACTTCAGTGGGTCGTACAACAACGTTAGGATCTAAAGCTTTCAAGTTCTTGAATGAAATAATGGACTCTATACTGCCTGTGTCCAGAATAAAGTCATGAAATGAACCAAGCGATGTATATAATCGCTTCTGAATATGAGCATTACCTTTCGAAATAGTGGACAAAGACAAATGATCACTAGAAACATCCGAATTATTGAAATTTAAATTACAAGATTTAGTACAGCTCGAAGCAAAATGGACAGTAGCTTTGCATACTGACTGAATGTGTCCTACCTTACCACATTTAAAACATTTAGCATTACGAAATACACATGAATTGCGAGCATGAAACTTTCCACATGATAAACATTTACCAAACTTCATCTCACCTTTGTGATTTGCTTTGTAATTCCTCGTTGAAACACCTTTCATATTTACACGAGAATAGGAATCACTGTTAAATGAACGCAAGTTTGATTGACCCTGAGATTGTAGTTCATCACGACGACTAAGCAAAGTATTAGAAATGTTCATCGACTGGATATCAAGTTCATTGACTGCTTCGTAGTTAATACATGCAGTTCTAGCATCTTGAAAGGAACAGTTTGGCATTCTTAACAGCTCTCTTTCCAAACTCGGTATGTTAATTCCTGCAATTAATCGATCTCTCAATTGCACATGAAGTTGATCACCGAAATTACACTTGGCAGCTTGTTTCTGTAATTCAAGGATGAATTCCCGAACCTTTTGGTCATTTTGACGAACCATCTTATGAAACTTCGCCCTTTCACGGCATTCAAAACTGGTGCATTTTACATGACTTAACAATAGCTCTTTAAGAGTTGCATAAGGCAGTGAGATAGGTTTTTCTGGATATGCCAAAGTTTTTAATAAGCTGTACGCTTCTCTCCCAATGAATGTCAGAAAATGTGCCACAATTTTCTCACCTTTAACATCTTTCTTGGTCATGCTCCAAATTTCGAACCTTTCCAAATAATCCTCAATAGCTTCAGGAGTTGAATGAATATCCAACTTTTCCATTGCAGGTTCCATCACGACGCCAATATAGTATTCTAATTATAGTATGAATTAGGAATTCCAGGATTAACGCAATTGAATTAAGAAGACACAGGCACAACGAATGTACTGTATTTAGAATTCGAAATCAAACATTCAACCAGTACAAAGGTATCATTGGTTCATTCAAACACCACACAATTGCAATGGAAATGCAAAACAATCGATGCTGAAGCTTTTACTCTAATGTTGTACAATGATACGCTTTTCCTTTTAAATAGTTTTTTTTAAAAATATACCGGTTTTCCCGTGGATTGTAGTTTTATTTTGGTCTGTTGTTGAAAATAAAGGCGAACATAGGAGACCTTTGGGGTTATGCTAATGGATCGAAAACAGGGAGTTCTGTTTGTATTTAGGCGAAAAGTAGACAATCAAACGTATCTGTAGGCGAAAAGTGGGCAATTCAGCGGATATTTAGGTGAAAAGTCGGTAATTTATCGACAAAGCGGCAAAAAGAGGGAAATCCGCAATATTATTCCGGACAGGCGAAAAAGGTGACATTCTGGTGCGTTTTCCCCTTTCTCTTCCGAAGCATTTACCCCTTTATCTCCCCTTTGTTCGCCTTTATTTCCCCTTTGTTGGTTGCTTGGGATCCAATACTTCAAAGGGCATCAAACATGTCTATCATCATTGTGACGTGAAAACACAAACGATATATCACTCAGAATATATAGACAGGTTTACTGGTAAAAAAGTTTAAATAAGATAAACTTCAAGAAAAAGCTGAAAAACATGACGACATATGTCGTCATTGCAAATATTTGCAATTCTAACCTTGACTTAACAAGTAGCAAAGTATTTAAATATGGGCCATGTTACAACATTAAACTAACTAAACCTAATTAAGTAGAAACTATTCTACACAAAGGTATCACATAAGATAACCTGAACGAACTTGGATTCTTCCCAGAGGACACTTCTAAGGCACCAAAATCCTCCTGGCCCTGGGGATAGAGTGTGGACAGACGAGATCAACGACATCGAATGAGGGAATAGGTAAGGCTCAATTAATCATCATCGTGGCTCTCCTGACAACACTGAGCAGATTCCCTTCCCTGATATAGTGCGACCTACGTCTAACTTCTCTAATTCGTAAGATTGATGGTCACCATCAGTGTAATCAACTTTGGAACACGCAGACTGACAGCAATCACAGAAGTGCCGTACACATCACTCGTCCATGAAAGCCTAAATCTACTAACACATGCTAATGACTCTTTCAACTATATAGGTTTATGAACCACTTTCACATTCTACATTACCAACCCACCGAGTAAAAATGGATACTAATTGTGAAAACAGTTATAATAACTACCACTAAAGTGCTTTAGATCGTCTCCATGCTAACTATTGAGAATTGATACAACCCAAGCTACGAGAGTGACTATCAAGACTGTATGATAAGTAGAAATACACTGTACTGTCAGCTTGTATCAGGTTCATTTGGAACACATCTCCTTTGGCACTTCTGTTGAGGTACCTGGCCCAAGCCTTTCTTAACTACGTGTGACATATAAACTTGCCTTCCCCGTACAAATTCAATCCAATGGCATTCCCGATAGATAGCCTATTCTTAGCCTTAAACCTGTCACCACCGGCTCCTCTTAGCTGTATTAGCCTCACGCTCGGTCCTTTTGAACAGATTTTAAAGAAATAGTTTACCAATTTGTACTGCCTAACTTAACATGTCCTTGTGGATCGTAGGAACAGATCATCCTTGACCTTTCCGGTGACTACCACATCTCTTTGCTGGAGATAATCCTTTAGTAATGAAGAACCATCTCTAAATTTCAGTTAATTAAGCGCTTGTAGATAATCAACGTAGATGACCTCTGTCGATGATTTGGGGCTTATTGGAGCTAGACAGGAATAACGTGACCTCCTAGCGTACGTTGAAATCACACCTTACTGTCAGCACTTAACGCGGATAGTCCGAATGTTGTATCCAGGTTCCATGGTTGTTTTGATGACTGTGTTAATAAAACATAACATCATGACAGAAATGTCTTGCTAACATTAGTTACAAGAATAGGCAGAGGCTACTGCTGCATGCGCCAGTCTATGATGTGCAAATATTTGACGAGGGTTGGCAATATTCAGTGACCCAACTCCAGAACCATCTGTCTAAGGCACAGTGACACTTCACTTGCTCTACAATACTCCCTTATGAGGTGTCAAAGGTCGCTTGAATCGGTATCAAACACTTTTGTGGTAATCACGCACCACAGGCTGACAAATGGTCAATGAGAATCCTTAGGTCTTACTGAATTATAGGACAGATGGAAAGGAAGTGGCAACTACTGATGGTGGAATGACGAGTAATAATAAATGGCTTAAGCTTTGCTTGAACATATAGCGACTTGCAACGACAATAATAAAAAACAGTATTAATACTGAGACAAGTGTTTAAAGCCCCCTTACGTCATATTAAAAATATAGTGTTAGTAAATGTTTGAGTCCCTAAGATAGGGAACGTTCAGTTTGCGGCAAGTGTGATGACACTGTGGTGGTAGTACGGTAATTGTATTATCACTTCATGTCAACGACCTTACCGTCATTCACTGAAAGTAGAAATTCAGACCTCGGCCTTGCAGGAGTGGTCCCTGTTGAATGTTACCTTATATCTTTTATTCATATTAGGTATGTTGTTCTATCTCTAGCCTAAGCTAGTTCTCCATCATGTATTGGTGATTGTTACGATACAATGTGCTGTTGTAAACGATGATGTGACTTCCACGTAAGATCTTATAGATTAGGCAGTTATATCTACAATTTTAGGACTATGTCTATTGTTAGAGCAGTACTAGTATCATAGTAGACCATAAATCCACAACTATTCCCTCATGAACATCATCTGCTCTGCTTCTCGTTTTCTTCTTTTTCTTACACCCTTTTCAGCCCCCTTGAGATATGCCACCGAAAACAGATTTGGAACGGGTGAATTCGTCCTGCGCCATCATCAGAGCCTCTGATA